TAAGACTGAGCATCTTTATGTTTTGTTTTTGTTTTTTTTTAACTCTTATATTTTAGGAAAGAAGGGTCATTTGTTATCAAGGGCATTGCTTTTAGTAGAAAGCAGTCAAACTTTTTTTCCCATTTTAGAAAGAGACCACAGGAATGAATCCATACTTCTTCCTTATGAATTCAAATGGGAATCTTTCCCTGACTTCTTAACTCAGAACATTACATATCATTAGATACCTCTCTTCAGGAGGGGTCAGACAGCCTCATTACATCTAAAGTTGACAGCTTCTGTTCGTCCAAGTTCTTTTCCTTTCCTTATCACAATCTGAAATGAGAACTTCTACCAAGGAGGAGCCAGGGTTCTCATCAGCCCAGAGACTCCGGTTCCCCTGAAGCTGCCCTCAGACCACCCTTCCCCTGCCCCACAGAGCTCTGATGTGTTCACTTATGGCACCTGCCTCTCCCAGCCTTTGCCCCTCCTTACTGTTGTCATCTAAACTTACTTTCTAAGCTTCACCATCTTTTTCAGTCCTGCTGTTATCTTGGGTGATTCCGTATGGATACTTATGGTTAAGTAAGCATATTTACTTCTTCAGCCTGGAGACTTCTTAGATTTCTTCATTTCACCTGTAAGAAGACTTGCTGCATCTCCACTTACTTCTCTGTCCAGTCAAGTTTTCATCCCCAACACTTGAGCTGTCCTCTTCCCAAGTCCTCAGATGGTCCTTTGGTTCTTTCACTTGTTGCAGACCCACCTGGTTCCATTGAATTTTCTCCCTGCCCTGAGCCTGTATCTGATATCTCAGCCCAATGCTATGAGAGAAAGCCATGTCAACACAGACATGGGCACCTCTGTAAATTAATGATCCCTAGGCTTGAGTGATGCCCACCCACCCACCCCCTTTTAGTTTGTTGTCCTTATCAGTTCTCTTGTCCATTGGCCTTTTCAGGTATTACTAGTAATCTTCATGTTCTTTATGTCTCTAACCCCGCCACCTTCCTCCTTATTCTTAGCAGAGGACCTTGCTTCTGACCTCACAGAGAATACAGAAGTCCTAAGAAACACCACCACCAAAGCCCATGTCTGCTTTGCTTTTGTCTTTTCCTCCATCCTTCCTGTCTCAATGGCTGAATTGCTCTTTGTCTTCTCCTACCTGTACTATGGATGCTGTAGGATTCATAGCTAATATTTGTTAACTGCTAAGTGCTCATTATATACTTCCATTGGATCCTCCACTCAGCAAGGACTAAGCTTATTCTCGAGTGTAGTTCCAGATGAGGAAATTAAGGCTTAGAGAGAAATTGTCCCGTGGTCTTATAGGAGCCAGGATTTGATCTGGGGTAGACTAATTCCAAAGCCCATGTTCTTAGCCATCGTTCTGTCCTTTCCTTCCAATTCCAGCCCATGTTCTTAGCCATCGTTCTGTCCTTTCCTTCCAATTCCAGCTTAGGGGCCTCTATCCCCAATTTGTTTACATTCTGTCTCTTCTGGCTTGTTTATACCAGGGTTTAAATACGCACAAGTCTCTTCCAGCTTTTAAAATGAGGACCCATTCTCCTAAAACTACCACTTCCCCTTCATAACTAACATTACCGAGAACACTCTCTATTGTTCAGCCTCTGCTCTCCTCCCATTCAGTCCCAGTCCACTGCAGTCTGGCCCCAAACCCAGAAAAGCTCACTCCAAGTTTGCCAGTGACCTCCATGTTGCTAAGTTCAGTGAGTTCTCCTTGGGCCCTATCTTACTTGACTTTACTGGAGCATTTCATACTACTTTTCTCCCTTCCCTTTGCTTTCCTGTGCCCACTCTTTCCTAACCTTCTCTCTGTGTCTTTAACTGCTCCTTAGCCTCGTTCTCTGCCAGTCACTGCGGTATCCGTGGTCTTCCAGATTTGTCACTAAGCTCCTTTATTCTCATTCCATACATACATCCTGGGTAACTTCATCCGCTTTTGTGGTTTCAGTTGCAGTCTAGATGCTGGTGAATCCCAAGTCTGTATCTCCGTCCTTGACAATGGCCCGAGAGCTAGACCTTTGTATGTATCTCCCTGCCTGCTGGACATCTCATTTAGTAGAACTTTCTGGAGTCATTAGCTTCCACAAATGTATGAAATTGGGCTTACCTTCTCGAAGGCAGGATGGAGAAGAGGTGAAAATTGTGAGCTCTGGCATCAGGATTGATTCTGCCATTTACTAGTGATATGACCGTCCCTCACATGTCAAATGGGATAATGACGGCACCTACCTCACAGGGCCATTGCAAGAGTTAAATGCAAAGTCCTCAGAACCGGGCGTAGAGTGAATCTTCAGGGGACGGTGGCTGCTGCCCTCATCTTGGCCACCATGAGTACTAGCACTAGTGTGGCTGCCATTACGACTTCTGCCTCCCCCACTGGTCTGTCCCCAGTGCTCTTCTCCATCTCATTGGATCCCAATACATATTATTAAATGACTCATACGTGGTCTCACAGTCCCTAGAATTTGTGTTCACATCTGGAGACCTTTTAGCTCTTGCTTTCCCACCTCCTGTGTAATCCGGTCAGAAACCTGAGGGGCATCTTTGACTCTTCCTTTCTTTAATGTTTATTTTTGAGAGAGAGAGAGAGAATGAGTAGAAGAGGGGCAGAGAGAGAGGGAGACACACAGAATCTGAAGCAGGCTCCAGGCTCTGAGCTCTCAGCACAGAGCCCAGTGTGGGGCTCTAACTCACAAACCACAAGGTCATGACCTGAGCTGAAGTCTGATGCTTAACTGACTAAGCCACCCCAGCGCCCCAACTCTTTCTTTCTTATCACATGGGACTTTTCTGCCACCATCTTTAGGATCAAGTTCAGAGTCCTTAATATTTACTTTCCAAGGCCCTTCACCATCTGCCTTCTTGTTGTCCTATTAGGCTTTGGGTCTTGCCGCTTCCCCCACAGCAAGCCAAGATGTGGTTTTATTGACCTTCTCTTGAATTTCTGTATCATGAATGAGGAAGAATGGCACAGCTTCGGTATAAGTTTCCTCAGGAAGCTTGCCTTGATTCTAGGTACTACCAAATTCTGGGATCAGTACCCTGCTCTTGTACGTTATAACACTGTGTCCTTCCTGGCTTGCAACCCGTTGGGTGTTCAGTTGTGTTTATCTGACTGTCACAGACTGGGAGTCTTGTGGAGGCAGGGACCACATCACTGATACAGGCTGTTATGTCTCATGTGCCCCCACCCTGTGCCTGGCACCATGCTCAATAAAAAAAAAAAAAAAAAAA